GGAGGGCAAAATTTAAAAAAAAAATCGGAACAATGCAATCAGAGCTTGTGAAACCCGCTTTGGTTAAGAAATAAAAATTCAAATTCTTAGAGATATTTAAACTTAAAACGAACTCAGTTGCTTTTGGGATATGTATAACTAATTACTTTTATTAGTAATGTGCCCAACACTGCTTATGATGTTAGGAAATTCAAACCTTATGGGTGGTTCAAAAAGCTTGCACTGTCTAAAAGTGTTTCAAATCATTTTTGCACTAACCACCAGATATGGTGGTACTCAAAATTAAGCAGCTCAAAAGTGATTATGAAGTTAAATGAGACACTACATAATTTCTAAAAATGAAAAAAAAAAGCCCTTTGTTCACAATCAATGACTGGGATTGTTGCTTAGAGCTACCAATGGCTAATGGTGAGATAAGTTGACAGTGTTGGTGTAGACAATTGTAGCAGTGTATTTGTGTGTAGTTCATTCATGGAAAAGAACATATATAATATGTTTTTTGTGAGGTGTAGAGTTTTACCCACCATCATGTATTGAAAGTTTGGGAAGCAAATAGGGACAAATTTAAACTCCTTTACGTCATTGCTGTCCATCCTCCAGCTTCTGGACAATACAGCTTCCAGCTTGTAAACAATTTTTCCATGATATCCTTTGAAGGATGGTGGCATAGTTCTGTGTAGGACAACAAGATTAACAATAGCTCAAGTTGCCAAAATTATGTTTTGGCAATATTTAGTCCTGCTGTAGTGTGCTTACCCTTGTGGTATGGTAAGTCTAAATGGATAAACATGGCTCCCTTGAGAAACTGCAGATTCTGAAAAATAAATATACATTTTAGAGTAAAATTGACTGCACAAGACAGGAATGGTCTAACCAGATCATACGCTCCAAAAAGGAACATACAAATAGGGAAAATATCCACTTTAACTGGTAAAACAGGACTGCTATGAGTATGCCCTTCCCTCCCTGTATCCTCCCTCACATCCCTCAGATCATCCTCCTCTATTCATCTGACTGTCCTCTCCGAACGTCTCACCACCATGGGATACAGAACTTGGAATCCCCCCCCCCCCCCCCCCCTTGCGGAACATCAACTCACTCCCACAATTCAATTCTGCACTTAAAACTCACATGTTTAAAATTGCCTTCTCCATCTGATATTCCACTGTTGTATTTTAACTTTTCTTAATGTTCTATTGCTTTTCAATGCTGTGTTGTTATCTTTGTATTCACTGTAAAGTGTCCCTGGGTGACAGAAAGGTGCCTATGAAATAAAACGTATTATTATTATTATTATTATTATTATACTGTGTCACTTGAGTGCACCTGACAATGAACTATTTAACTAAATCCTTGTTATGAAGTACTGGAATACATCTATTAGGGTGCTACAGCTGCAATTAAATGCTGATATACTTCAGTGAAACACTCATCTAAATCAAGGGCAAATTAGGGCTTGTAGTTTAGCTTGTAGAAAAGAAATGAAACTTTAGGTGATATACCCAGATTGTGTCAGACCAGCCTTACCAAGTGCAGGGCAATCAGTCTACTACTGACAAGCTGACTGATATACAGTACACTGTCAAATGGATTGCCTGTAAACTCATTAATATGTTGGAGGACAATCTTTGAAAGTAGCTCATGATGCGATTGACAGGACACCATCAATATGAGAAAGGAAATTCACCTCCACTACCAAAAAATAAAAAGGAAATAAATAAATACGTTTTGCATGTCTTCTTGACATTTTCCTTTATTATGAATTCTGTCATTTGGATTAGCCCCAATTAAAACAGGTCTGAAACACATACAGTAAACCTACTTGCTGTGATCTGTGTTTGTGTTACAGGGAAAACATTTTTTGTCATATTGAAGAATGATTTGTTATCTCAATTCATACAAATTAAATGTGATTAATCTACAGTTATCTTGTGAATAGTCATCTTTAAATATGATTGGTTTTACAGCCCTAATAGATAAGGATATTAAATGTATGAAAGAAAGAGAACTGTGTAGGAAATAAATGGTAGCTGTGTGACAATAGTAACATTGGCTATTGAGGAAGTAATGTTGCATAAATGTGTTAAAAAACACTGGCACAATAGTTGTGACATCAATGACGATGACTAAATAAAATAGATTCAATTTCTACTTTCTACTATAATTTTAAGGTGTTTCCTCAAGTTCTAAAACATGATCATTAAACAAAGCATAGTTATAAGTGAAACTCTGAACTTCCTTTACTTGGGTGCACGAGTAAGGTACTGCCATGTGAATGTCATTCAGTTTATTGATAGATTAGATTAGTGCCCAAAATTACTACAAGCAACCTTACAACTTCATAGTGGGGTGAGGTCCATGTGTACGTCATTTAACGCATAGTTAGAATGATTCAGAATGTATATTAGAGTGATCTCTACGGTTTTTTTTACGTTTAGTAGTGATTACTCGTAATTAATCCACCGCTACCCTGCGATTAATCACGTTCAACGAACGAAAGAAATATTTTCTCTATCTAAAATAAATAAATAAATCTGCAAACCCTGTCTTTTTGTTTGTTTGTTAAAGCACTGTTAACGCACTTTGAGCTACATGACTGTGCGAAATGTGCTACTTGAACTTAAAAATATGAGAAGAACATGTTTTGTTGTATAAAAATAAAAGGAACAAGTCACCAAGATTACGAGCGGTTGTTTGTACATTGCTCATACACATACCTTCGGCGGCCTCTGAAATAATAAACTCTTTCTCTTTGAAATATCTCCTGTGTGCACTGTATGTACGGTTCTGATCTCCTCTCTCCTCAGACCAGCAAACGTCAGCGTCTCCTTTTGCTTTGATATACAGACATTTCACTTTGGTTTCTTTGGACAGCACTAGTGTCACTTTCCCTGTTATTATGTCTCCGGGCGAGAACGTCCCCTCCTCGTTCAGTGCATCGTAGCTGATATTAAAGCTGTCAACAGAAGGCATCTTTTGGCGTAAGGATATCAAAAGCACTCTGAGTTAAATAAGCACATCCGCTTTGGAAACCCGTTATTATACAATTGTTGCTCCAGGTTCAGTTATGAAGCGCCATGTTGTGGAATGGTAGCTGGGCGTGGGACAGGAAGTCCGTGAGACACACGGGATACACACCGGAAAACCCCGCCCTCTACCGAGGGTCGCCGCCGTAATGGTCCGGGCAAAACACCAGCCGCAATTTTCCAGTTTTAATTCAGAAATGTACCTTTTTTTCAATAATTTAATTTACAAAGTTGCCTTATTACATAGGATCCGCATTTATTCATTCGCACATTTTTGTGATGCCCTCGTTTTTTAATGACCAAAGTAGCATATTTGCAACAAAATATGCTGTCAACAACTTGTTGGTCACGTTTGCTGTAGTTAATTATTGGTGAACTAGGCAAATAGTTGATAAAATTACAGCATACCTATGATAAATTAAAATTAAAAAGTTTTAAAATCAACAAAATTTATAGAATCAATCCCTGTTCTCTGTATCTTCTACTCTGACTCCAACTACCTGCATGTCCTCCCTCACTGCATCCATATATCTCCTCTTTGGCCTTGCTCTCTTTCTCCTACCTGGTAGCTCCATTTCTAACATTCTTCTACCAATGTATCCACTGTCCCTCCTCTGCACATGTCCAAACCATCTCAATCTGGCTTCTCTAGCTTTTTCTCCAAACCTTCCTGTCTGTGTTGTCCCTCTAATGACCTCATTCCTGATCCTGTCCATTCTTGTCACTCCTAAAGAGAATCTTAGCATCTTTAACTCTGCCACCTCCAGCTCCTCCTCCTGTCTTCTGCCTATTGCTACTGTCTCTAAACCATACATCATGGCTGGGCTCCCCACCGTCCTGTAAACCTTTCCCTTCACCTTAGCTGACACTCTTCTGTCACAGATCACTCCTGACACTTTTCTCCAGCTGTTCCATCCTGCCTGTACTCTATTCTTCACCTCTCTTCCACAGTCTCCTCTGCTCTGAACAGTTGATCCTAAGTACCTAAACTCCTGCACCTTCACCACCTCTGCTCCTTGTAACCTCACTATTTCACTGTTTTCCGTTTCGTTTACACACATGTACTCTGTCTTGCTGCGACTGACCTTCATTCCTCTTCTTTCTAGTGCAAACCTCCACCTCTCTAGGTTCTCTTCTAGCTGCTGCCTACTCTCACTACAGATCACAATGTCATCTGCAAACATCATAGTCCATGGGGACTCCTGTCTGACCTCATCTGTCAATCTGTCCATCACCACAGCAAACAAGAAGGGGCTCAGGGCCGATCCTTGATGTAGTCCCACCTCCACCTTGAAGTCTTCTGTCCTCCCAACAGCGCACCTCACTACTGTTGTACTATTCTCATACATGTCCTGCACCAAACTAACATACTTCTCTGCCACTCCTGACTTCCTCATACAAAACCACAATTCCTCCCTTGGCACTTTGTCATATGCCTTTTCTAAATCTACAAATACACAATGCAGCTCCTTCTGACCTTCTCTGTACTTCTCCATCAGCATCCTCAAGGCAAATATTGCATCTGTGGTACTCTTCCTAGGCATGAAACCATACTGTTGTTCACAAATCTCCACTTCCTGCCTCAACCTAGCTTCAACTACTCTTTCTCAAATCTTCATTGTGTGACTCATCAACTTTATCCCTCTGTAGTTGTTACAACTCTGTGCATCACCCTTCTTATAAATTGGCACCAGAACACTTTTCCTCCACTCATCAGGCATCTTGTCAGTCTCTAAAATTCTGTTAAACAACCTAGCCAGGAAATCTACCTCCACTTCTCCTAAACACTTTCATACTTCCACTGGTATGTCAATGGGAGCAGTTTATAATTCAATTAATTTCATATAAAATAAACATTTTTTTCATTTGTTGTAGTTGAAAAAGAAAGTTACTATGAGAGTCCAGGAAAATACCATTTTGGTATATGACATTTTTTTTAGACATTTTATGTTTGACAGCAAGGAAAAAGCTTAATATCTGGTTGTGGAATTTTACATTCGGTCTTAGAATTTATGATAAAGAACGTTATTGCGTTTGAAATGTAATAGGTGGCAATAATGCCAATTATAAACTTTGCAAGTGCACATTCCTTATTTCTGCCGTAGGGAGACCTCTTGTGGACACTACTCAGCATTACTCAGTTGCTGTTTCTGCTGAACGTTCCACAAAGAACCACCACTCGGATTAAACTAAGCGAAATAGTTAATTAAACAACTTACATTGTCTTAAGAAGAAGAACAAAGTTTCTGGTTAGTCTGCATTGCACTGGACATTTGGTATACATCCAGCCAAACAAACAGTACGAAGGAGAAATAATTATCCTGTGTTATGACCAGTTGGACCAAACAAGGTCGGTGAAAACAATTAAAAAATCTCTTTTGAATCCAAAAAGATGAATTGGTAAACCAAAAGTTAGCTTTTTATCCTTTTCATATTACTCCTAAGTATTATATATAT